AACTAAAGGCCACTGCTACTTTTTGTAAATATCTATTTATTCTTTTTAATAATCAAATAATTTCACTGTGTAATGATTTTATTTCTCTGGCTATGTATGTACTTATATGAATTTTAAAATGTCTCTATGTATGGTACATTTGCATAAAAAACTGTTGTATGGTCTTCATATATTTCCTAGTCGTAACGCATCTATTGTTTATGAATTCATAACTGTTAGCTACTCGTATCTTATGCTTCCGTCTTTATTACTTTCCAAACTACGTACTATGTAAGTAAATACATATGTGTAGAATCAGCTTTGCTTTACAAACATACCAAGTAAAATATGTGTGTATGTATCCTAAACGCATTCAATTATGTATGTATTTAAATTGGTTACAGGGATATCTATTTGTTCAACAAAGTTATATATTTTCTCAATTACTAGTCTCCCCCTCTCTCTCTCTCTCTCTCTTAGTATTTATGCCAATATAATTAATCATTTAATTTATGTTTTTTTTTAATTATACATATGTATATACGAGGGTGATTGAATAAGTTCGTGACTTCGCAGCCCGATGTACATAATTTCAGCATTATCGTGCATTATGCCAGAGGAATATCACTTTATTTTTCGTCAAATTCGGTCGTTTTTTTTATTTAAAGCACGGGTCCAAGCATTTAACAGACTTGTATTGTTTGTTTAAATTATAATTGGTCACGTGTATTCCAGAAAATTCTCACCATAACCCTGTTATCCGACAGACCTACTTATCCTTCCGCCTTTTAAAATTTGCCAACTCAACCAGAATCAGTAAACCACTTCCGTACGTTTGAAATCATAAGAATAGAATTTTCGAAACAAAAGTTAATGCACTTGGCTACTTTAACTGACAGTCAAACACAAACGGCAGACAGCAGTTGACTGGAGCAGTAATATTAATCCAACTTTTGAGGAGATATAATGATCTCCGAAATAAGAGCTATAACTTATACCGCTCAGACTTTAGAATAGTGATATAGAGCACAATAGCCTTAGGCAGAAAACTAAAAAGATCACGAACTAATTTATCCATCCTCGTATCGTATCTGTTCGTTTATAGTATGATACTTAGAAAATAAAAATTAATTCTTATGTCATATTTTCCCGAATTAAAATGGGCTCCCCCATATACTCTCACAACTGAAAGTGGACAATTATTGACCAAGTAAAACATATATAATTTAATTATTTTTAGTGCTAATAATAATGCTAACCATGTTTTTGAACCATAACATTGTAGAACTTTGCAGCTACAACCAAACTAATAATTAAATTTCCTTATATGGGAACACATTTTCATAAAATCTTAGATACATGACGCATCTCGGAAACATATTTTTTCGAAATTATCAATTCAATTGAGATCATTTCATTTTTCACCGATTTTATCTTAAATTACAAAATACATATAGGAGATACCGAGAGCTTATATTTACTATATGTACTTTTAATCCAATATGTTTGAAACAAGAAATGTTTTATATAAATTAAGATCATAAGCAGCGTGGAGAAGAGTCAGCTTCACAAATTTCTTATGAATTTATATATATATATGTATATAGGTAGATTTGTAGGGGCCCAAAAAAATTAACAGAGGCACTTCGCGATTATGATTATTTGGGTCATTTCAAGCATTTTTGCCCAAGGTCTAAAATGAATTTCGAGCCAGCGATTTTTTCTATCTTGTTTTTTTTTCAAAAAGTGGCTCGCCTGTTGAAACAGCTGTATTGAAAACTAGCCAAATGTGTATCTGGGGGTTTTTGGGGTCGAGGAATCCATTTCTGGCCTTAATTTTTTCTTTTGAGAGCCGCCAGATGGCGCTTCCGTACTTTTTTTTGGATTTTAATGCCCGCAGACCAGACATGGAACCTTTGTCTTACCTAGTGGTAGTACGCACCTCTCTGATCACTTGCAATGAACGTTAGCTTAGCCGTTTTCCCGATTACAATAGAATAAATAAATATGTACGTATATATAAGCTCTCGGTATAAAAATCATATAAAAGTTTCCATTATACTCGTTAGCAATACGCTAATTATCATGAAACTGCCACTAAATTATAACGGTTTTTTTTCAATAAATTCGTTGTTTTGCCAGTTACTGTGTCTTGAAACAACGAATTGTTCTAAGTCTACATAATTAGTACCTTGTGCGAAAAGTTAAACAAGCTTGATTAAGGTCTTAGAAGTTATATATATGTACACATTTTTATTTTAAATAAATTGCTACGATGTATGCATACCTACGTATAATATTCTGAAATTTAAGTAAATATCTTTGTTTTCCTACTAGTTATTTTAACTACAAAGCTCAAAATTTGAAATTAACTAAAATACTGAAACTTTTACATAAACACTCCGAAACAATTTTTCAAAAATAAATTATTTATATAGGTACAGTTTTATATAGGTTACAGCAACTTATGCGAACAGTCTGATAGTATCTTAACTAACAAATATAAATACAATTTTTTTTTTTTTAATCTCCATAACAAGAATTTTTATTTCTCTCCTTTGACCGGAATTAATTACATCCAACATGAGAAACAGAAGAGCAGCGAATTCTAGATTATACTGGAAATAAAGATGTGTTTAATTCGTAGCTTAATTTCCAATTGATGGCAGTGATTCAATATTTTATTAATTTCATTTTGAATTGGATCCGATAATACTGCACAATATTTCTCTGTCTATCTTCCTAAGATTTCTTTATCTGCATTTCAAAAGAGAGGCGTTCATTTTCGGGGCATTTAAACCCGCTGTTATTTTTGCTTACATATGTACATACTATGTATATATGTATATGCAGCAGTTTACGTGAAATGTCGAGAGTAAAAATGAATATCTTGAATCACGCCTGTTAGGCCTGGGAAAATTATTATCGGTGGTAATATAACCCGAAAAAAGTTTGAGACTTTTTTTATTTTAAGGGGGACAATTTTATGAACTTTGCTTGTCATCGCCCACTCTTTTTTCCCCGTGATGTCACCTATGTAAATGATAACAGTTTTACTTTAAAACAAGTGCTTTTTCATATTCAGTTTTCAATTTTGTACAATTTTATAATCCATAGCAATAATTTTTGAGCATTTACTATTTTCATAATTTACATGACGATGTTTCATGTCAATCGGACCACCCGCGTACCAAAACTTTAAATTAAAGGATAAGTTTGTGTATAAAATTTGCGAAAATTCAAATTTACATCTTATTAGTATCGTCCTCAAATACGTTCGAGGTATATGTCTTCACCCCTCAATTATTGGGTAAGAGAACGACGATTTTTTAAAGCTTTCATAAAATTTTTCCCCTCAAATTTAAGGAATACAGGTGATCCCTTGAATCAATGGTACGAAGGAACCATAGAAAAAGGAATAAGGAGATCCGTGCTGTTTTGTTTTTGAAACTTTGTACACACATACTTATTATTCCTTGAATAAAGTCAAAGACTCAGAAATGTATTAGTAAACATGAAAATTTCACATAAAAATGCTGCTGTCTTTTGGAGATTCCCTTTTATGTCTACTGCATCTTGACAATTAGCTTTTTTTTATTTTTATAAGTAAGAATATCCAAGAATCTAATGGTGATTTCGTTTCTTCCAAATAATGTTGCCCTTCGCCGGTGCAAAATATGTTTGATGTTACACTCAACCCTGTAAAAGGACATGTTTTTGCCTTCTTGTCCTTGCCTAGCTCACGCATTTCATAATATTGTCGTTTTAAACAGACATCTGATTTTCAGGGCAACCATGTCCGCTGACAAAGCTTCACAGGGCAGAGAATGTGCGTTTTTTGCCTTAAAACAGTCTGACATTTTAAGAAACGAACACAAAATTTTCGCACCCTTTACCTTTAATTTAGAATCGAACACGAAAAGAGAAAGGGGCAGGGGAAGTACCACGCTGTGACAAATCACTTTCCCGTAATTGCTTGTTAAATTAAATTATTATTTTTTTTAGGAAATATCATACGCCATGTATGTACATATCATCCGTTTAATCAAACTTAGTAGGAAACAAGTAATTTTTAGCACAAAAAAAAACCGACTTAAAAAAAATATATGTATATATATTTATTCAGATTAGTATGGGACCACCTCTGAGACACTACCTTTCCGATGCAAATAGAATTATAGGAATCGGTTGACGTGGTCCAAAGTTATGCGGTAACCATACATTAAAAAAAAAATGTTCCGACGAACTGATAACCTACTCCTTTTTTGGAAGTTGGTTAAAAAGTAACACCTGCGAAGGCGATTAGTCACACCGCAATTCCGTAGAAATTTCTCGCTCTAAAAAAATATATTTCTTCCATCTCGATCCGATGGGCGAGAATCTTCAGTGATATTACACCGTGCAACAAAAACAAAAAAATTTCGAAACCACGACAGCCGAATCTACGTAACCGGAACGATTCAGTTTTACATATATCTGTATCCAAGGACTGTCACTCCAGCAACACTTCCAAAAATCTCTTTGAGGAATTTGTATGCTGTTACAACAACAACATAAATATTCTCACGAAGCTATGGGCGAAATATAGTAAAACTGCGTTTTTAGTTTTCCTCAATGATTTTTTAAAAAGAAATTGTAGTTTTAACGATATGATTACTTCCAAAAATTATTTAAAAAAAATGAGAATTAAAAAAATGGAACTGATTGGTTCACAAGTACGAATAGGTACCTAAAATTCCCTTTTAAATATTTTTTTTTTGTAAAGCCTATAAAGCTAGAAGGATCAAATTCGAGGATGAGGTCAAGTATGTATTAGTTCCTAGCATATAAGGTAAAATTAGCTTAGCTAACAGCATATAAGTATAAAATTTTGAAATGACATTTTCAATACCTTCCCATCCTTCTGCACCAAAAAATTTAATTTGCTTTAAGTCTACATAAATTTCCATTTAGTTTTATATTGTTTTTCTAAGTACATTGCACTGAATGTTGTAAACAATTTTTTGAAGAATTCATATTTTTTTAAATTTAAAAGTCCATTTACAAAATCCTGACGTCAGAAAGAAAAACGAAGTTTCACTATATTTGGTCCATGGTTTCGCGAATATATTGATTTTTTGTGTGTAAAATTGACTGTCGCCCGTCGCTGTTAGCAGAGAGGCGCTAAAATCAATGATTTTAATTAATGTAAAATTTTTCCTGAAAGTTGAGAGATTTCATTATTGTAATCAACGTAACTCTACGATCAAGACAGCTATTATTTATCCGTTAAGTAGAAGGGCTTGCTTTTTGTTGAAACAAAATTTGTTTGCTTTCAGAATTATTATTTTTTTTTTTGAATTCAAGCAATATTCTCCTACTCACATAAGAACCTTTCTAATAAGTCAAATGTACGTATGTATCAGTGCATAAAGCATTATAGTTCCAACTTTTTTCGTAACATACCAGTAACCGTACTAAATCATAAAGTAGTGTAGGCATTGCCTTTAAGAAGAAAAATACTGTGTTAATCCTGAGTAATCCTAATATTTAGTATTAGTGGATATAGTACATAACTAAATTTCCGATAACCCCTTAGTACTTAGCTAATTTTTATATGTTAGTACTTGATATGAATAATCAATGTTCTAAGCTAAGTTGTGAACAACTTTATATAATCATTTAGACATTTTTAGTGCATTTTTTACTAACACCTAATGCGGCTATAAATACTTATACCATACCTCGATTGCAATATTTGTTTAAATAGATACTAAATACACAAAGAGTAAATATGTATGTATCTACGTATAAATATTTGTGTCTATTGGATATTTTTGTCCCTACTATCGTTGTACATCTACAAAAGTAACAAAAATTATTTTATGTCGTCTCATCAACGCTCAATGTTGTTGTAAGTTGTTGCACTGTCTCTGGCTAAGAGACAAAAAACGTTTAAACATAGAAGATTAACTGGATCAATTCTTTCAAATCCTCTCTTTTCATTTCCGCTCCACTGAACTGAAAAAAAAAAAATACAAATTTCTGCGAAAATAAAATTCATAAATGTGCGAATTAAAATTTATATTCAAATTGTTTGCTTAAATATGATGGCTGTAACGCAACGCAAAATGGCGAAAACCCTCTATCTAAATACATACAAACTTAAAACAAACAACCAATTTTAAAATAACGCAAACTTGGATTTTCTGAATGGCTTTCATGGATGATTGCGTATTGCAAACGACAACAATCTCATATATATACATACTTAATTGCTGATGCGGTCCTTCATTACAAACAAATCAATCAATCAACCAAAACGCATTGAATCATCAACCACCATCGATATCATCAAACAACAAACAATCTATACAAATGCATCTGTTTGTTAATTCAAAACATTCATGCCATACAAATTCATTCGCGCTTGAATAATTGCACTCAAAACAAAAATGAAAAAAAAAAAAATATCGCATAACCGCTGCCACCGCTGGCCACATGCCCGACCGTCACACTCGTGCACGATACAAAAAACCCAATCGATTTAATCGAACGCTTACACACGCCCCACCACCACCACCACCCCCACACTCACATACGCGATCATGCGATTCATCATAATTTAAAACAAAAAAAAATCCAAAAAAATATATGCAAATTAGAAAAGCGCGAAAGTCGCAATAGATCAATAAAAAATTGGCATCGTTTAACCCACGCGCTACGACGGTCCTCCACAGGGCACAATCTCTCACAGACCGATGGGAATAGCACCGACGACGGCGAGTCAACCAGCGGCGGCGGCCGCAACCCGGCCACCACCGGCGCCGGCTGCTACCGGAACTTCGATCATATGGCCAATCTGAGGAATTCGAATATGACGCATCACGTAAGTTTGACATTCGGGACTCTCAATTAACCCCCGATTACAAATGTATGTGTACGTGCGTATGTATGTATGTATGTATGCCCAGCCACCTATGTTGTGTGAGTAAACTACTTATGTATGTATTCAACTAACTTCTTCGTATCTTTTACATGGACTAACTAACATTTGCTTCAAAAACATCTGTGCTGTTTATAACAGTACTGTATGTGATTATTCAGCTATCTTACCATTAAATGCATTGCCATGCAACAACTACCTGTATTTCCCACCTTAATAATGTTATTTTTTATATTCTTTATGGAATTCCATGCCATGCCACCTCTAACGCATAGTTTCGTCCATCTGTACCTGACCAGGAATCAGTTCCTCCATATAGTTATGTCGATACTCCGAATGCCCACCTAACGTCCATGACGGCCATGGAGAGCTACAAGCGCGAACAACAACAACGCCAGCTGCAGCAGCAATTGCTACGCGAACAGCGTGAGAAGCTGGAGCAATTGGCGCAGCAGCAGGCGGATACCCTCCTCACCACATCCGTTGCACCCTTACTGAGCACAGCAGCATCAGCAGCGGTTACAACAACAGCGGCCGCTAACACCTTGCCGATAATCACGGCTAATGGCGGTGCCAGTGTGCCAAGCGGAGCCGGTAATGCGGTTGGCTCGAGCTCCAACACCGCGGCGGCGGCAGCAGCCGCAGCAGTGGACGATACTGCTGCCAACTCCTCACAGGCAGGTGATAGCGTGTCGCTGGTGCCATCCGGTCCACGGCCATTGCAAATGATGATAGCACCTGGGGTAAGTGCAATTGAATTTGTATTGAACACATACAGACATACATACATGCTACATATTTATAACACAAGCAGTTATGCAGCACTTCACACACATACATACATATGTACACGTGCAAACACACACACACTTATTGCGGCTAAGACCTTAATCTCAATGCGCTAATCTCGCATAGCCGAACATTAACCACCAACGAAAAGTAAGCACCCAAATAGCACTCGAGAATGGCTGAAGATGATCGGCTCGAGGTGGAGTTTACTTGTAGGTTGTAGTACATCAAAAAGTAGCCTTATCTTTCTTATGTAGTTTAGAAATTAGCCTTTACATATTGAAATGCATTTGAAAAAGTTTGTTAAGCCCAGGCACTTCCATTTCCATACACGAAGCTCATATGAATTGTCAATTTTTGCACTAACGCTTGAAGAATTCCTTTTAAGACCGATGAGATAAGAGATGGAGTAATGTCTTCTTTCTTGGTACTTATTAGAAACTGTTTTCGTTCAAAGGATTTGTCTTTATATGGAAAGTATTTCGTGAATGATAAAACATTTCTATTTATAAAGCTAACAAAACAGCCATCATATTAAGACCTAAAATAGTCTAGCAATAAGTCTTTGCCATAAATGTTAGCCCGCACTATTATAAATGTTTAAATCAAGCTTCTATATTCCGAACTAAAATACTAGTTACGTCCTCTACAAATCGCGCACCTAATCAGAGTCGTATACTCATTTCCCACCACTGCAGAATGATACTATTGTGCCGACTGCATATCGTCACTAGACACGAATAAAGGCGCGAGCTCAACATTCAAATATACCCAGCAGCGAAATTTAGCGACAGTCGAACATATATCCTGGCGCACAGCCTCTTTCTAAGCCTAAGCACTAGGCATAAATCTAAACAACCTAACCTAAAGTGATAATATGAAAATACGAATTCTTTGAAGATAAAAAAAAATTAATCCATTTATTCTAAACTATTGTCGCATTTTTCATACAATTCATTCATTCTCGGGTGCTATTCTGGTGCAAACTTAAAGTTTTAGCATTACAAAAAATGATACTTGTCGAATTTTAATCATTATAATACACGTACGTACCTATATACACATACACATACACATATATACCAACAAGCCAAATGTGTAGCCACATATATAAGTTTTTCACATCCGCCCACTCCTCTATCGGCATTTCATAATCGTAATTGTATCCGTTTAATGTTGAATTAACTAATCTGTTTCACTCACCCAATCACCGTGTTTTTTGTATTGCTTTATGTTAAAACGTAATAAAGTAATTATCGTATAAATACAGCAGCTTCATAAAGTAAAGTAATTTAT